GATCAAATTGCGTACTTGGATCAATAATTACACATCACGGTCAATAAAGTATGATGAAAATTTTTATTTGTGACTGATGGAAATTTATATTGGAACTATTAGTTTCTAAAATAATTGTGTGTTTGGATTGTATGTTGGCACTTACAAACATGTGTAATCAAATATCATCAAGCAACACATCTTCTATTCTCTGACAAACATTTTTCTTCATTTTATTATTGTTTTTGTTAGTAGTCATACTTTGAAATTTACAATTGAATATTGCAGAATCGGGTCTAGCCCGGTCCAATTCAGTTTTGATTCAGATATGATTTACATCAGGTCATACATTACAGATGAATCAACTACATTTACAAGTCATACATAACGTACAAATGCATTGACTAAATATATCCATTTTGTGAATCTTAAAGAAAAAGTATTATTAATATGCGCATTTGGTTAAATTTAAATATAAAAATCGTATAGCTCAGCCAATCACATTATTCCAAAATAATCAAATTAGTTTACAAATAGTACAATTTTTGTATCAGATATACCAACAACATCCCTATTCATACACAAAATAAATATGAAAAGATTTGTGATTACAAACATAGAACTTCTCATGGAATAAAACTGTAGAATTTTAACTCCTCATACGGATGATTATGTAAAATTTCTTTTGGAAATTTTGTGATTTTTGCAAATAAAATTTCTGCCGACAAAATGATAAATCTATGCCGACAAAAATGGAAGAAACAAAATTTTCATTATGTTTTGAAATACAAGTAATTCAGTATGAAACTAATTCAGAAATTCTTTGGCGAAAAATAAAAGATTCGATAAATCTGAAAACATTTTTTTATAATGTTGAACACAAATTTAGCATCATATTGTTGACAGAAAAAGCAAAAAAAATTCAATAATTAAACCGAAAAGGTTATGTTATCATTACCATTTGATTAATTTTAGTATATGTACTACTATTAATTTTAGCAAGTTTTTTTTTTGTGTTGCTTAACCCAAGTCGCAAGTGATGATGCTATGAAACATTGTGCTCCACTGTCATGCACTTTGGCAGTTTCCGTCGAACATCGTGAAGAAAAATAAAACTGTCGAAACCCCAAAAAAGTTTCTCTCTTTTTTTTCTCTTTCCGATTTCCTTTGCTTTTATTCTTCGTTAATCGCTTCTTTTTTTCCCTTTCTTTTCTTTTGGG